CAGCAGCAGCAGTGGCAGGGGGTGGAGCCAGCAAGTGGGAGGTGCTAGGCCAGCCAAGGCAGGTGCAAGTGAGCTCCCTCTCCCCCCATCACCCTGCTGGTTGCCCTGCTGATGGGCCCTGATCACTGGCCAGGCCTAGGGACCCTGCCTATCTACATATTTCTGGACCGTGTCTCTAGTAGCTCAGTAAAGTTAAGAATGAAAAATATGGGCAAGAGAGCTTATGCTCTGTGGTTATGCACATACACATGAAATCAGAAAACGAACTTGTGTAGGTCAGATGCCAAGCATCACATATTTTTATTTGACCATTTTATTAGACTTTCATCCCAGTCCGGTCAAGAAATGCCATTATCCCCATGAGTGGATGAGGGAACTGAGGCATATAGAGGTGAAAGAGCTTGTTCAAGGTCACTGGTAAGGGATTCCCCTGGGATTCCAACCTTCCCTCTGCAAACTCTGGAGTCCATGCTGCTCTTACTACAATGGAAGCCTTTGGAATTTTCTGGAAAGTGGCTCTGTTTTTCTCCCATGGAGAGCTCTTCTGACATGAAACTGGCTTGTCCTTGAATCATCCCATGTTATCAAGGCCACCTGTCCTCCCTCACCCTAAGACGTCTCACTGGAAAAAACCTCATTCTGGCTGCCTCGTTTTCCTGCAGTGAGTTCTGTTACACCTCTAAGTGCAACAGATTCATGGAGCCTTCAGATTGCCATCTTTTTTCCCCTCCAAATTGCAGTTCCATTCCCAACTTGATAATTAAGGATTATTCAGCTCAGATGTCCCTGCGCAGTTTAATATAAACAGACCCTGGGTTGCCTTGCAGGGGCCCTGGCACATTCCTGACAGGATAAGGAAGGAAAGGTGAGGAGAACCCTGAGGTTTAATCATCTCTGCCTCTTTGTGTTGCCGTATTTATTGCATCCCGCCCTGGAACAGGGGAGCGATGGAGGCGGCCAGAGCTTCACTCATTATCAGCCGAGTGGCAGGCCCTGCTGAAGAGGACGCACGCACTCGCTCACTTCTTTGTTGTAAAAGCTCCATCTTGTTTGATGTCTGCAGCAACATCTGTGCATTTGAACCCAAGGAAGCTGTCTGGGCCCCACACTGGCCTGCCTGTACCGGCAGGATCCTCTTCTCCTGGGTTTAAAACAACATTCCCCAAAATGCACATATAACCGGTGACGGGTATAAAAGGCTATGTCAGATGTTGTATAGATATAAAATTAGGTAGCATTGGAAAAAAGATGGAGAGAATTAATCCCTTTCAGATTCTTGTGAATAAGACCTAACTGTCATTAGTGGATGGAATTCACTTCGGTATAACCGTGTCCTTAGCCTCTGTTGTGGCATCTCCCTCATAAGAAAAGAGAACAGGATGGGGACTTGGCCTTGGACTGATCTTGGAATTTGCAGGGCCCTGTGATTAAAACTGGTGTTCACCTTGTGAGTTAGGAACTGGATATGAGACAAGACTCAGACATGACACAGGGAGAATGACATGTCACCTTCGTTGTCTTGAATTCTGGGGTGTCCTTGCAAATGTGGGCAGGACCAGGCTCCCGCTTTGGCCCTATGAATTGGGTTGACCTTCTGGTCAGAGACCAACTGGACCGTTATGGGCCTTCCTCACCTGGGCAAGCCCCTGAGTGCACAACAGCACAGCCCCCAGAGGTGTACACTTGATTGGTCTTCAGTGTATTCACAGTTGGGCAACCATCACTGCTATCTAATAGTAGGCTATTTTCATCATCTCGAAGGCAAATCCTAATACTCAGTAGCAGTCACTTCCACCTCTAACCCATGATGCCACAGATCTACGTTATCTGTGGATTTGTTTACTCTGGACATTTCCTAGAAATGGAATCATCCAATATCATTTAGTCTTTTGTGGCTGGCTTTTGTCACCTACCATAATATTGTCAAGGTCCATCCATGACATAGCACCTGTCAGTACTTTGTTCCTTTTTCGTTGTTCAATAATGTTCCATTTTATGGGTCGACCGCTTTTGGTTTATCCATTCACCAATTGGTGGCCATTTGGGTTGTTTCCAAGTCTTGACTTTTGAATAATGCCACTATGGAGATTTGTATACTAACTTTTGACATACGTTTTGTTTGTTTTAGGGCAAAGAGTCTTTATTTTCTTTATTAAATTTAGTGGAGGCCTGGTGCACAGATTCATGCACATTGAAAGGAAATTAATTAGGAGGTGGCCTGCAGGGCAGGACTGGGAGAGATGGGATGGAGACACCCTGGAACTGCAATTTGGAGGAAAAGAAAGAGCTGGTGATGGCAAGGCTCAGTGAATCTGTGTCCTTAGAGGTGTAACAGATATGAGATGGAGACACCCTGGAGCCAACCTCCTGTGGTCCCGCCCCGGCCACCACACCTGGAGTGGCACTGTGGCTCAAAGGGCATCTGTGCAGTGAGTCGCTTTGGCAGATGGGGTCCCTCCACCTGGCCTGTGGGGATTGGGCCTAAACCAGCAGTCAACATCCCCCGAGGGGTCCCAGAGTGCGAGAGGGCACTGTACAAAGTTGCTGTCACTCTGCAGCTCCTACATTGAGGTTCTGCCCCCTGGTGGTCAGTTCATGTCATAGCTACCATTTGGCTGGTCACTTAGGCTTTTATATATTTAGATTGGAGTCGCATTGGTTAATAAGATCACATAGGTTTCAAATGTACCTTACTATGAATATGATCTATATTGCATTGTGTGTCCACCACCCAAAGTCAGGTCATCTCTGTCACCATATATTTGGCCCCCTTTACCCTTACCACATTTTCATGTATTTTTTTGTACATAACTAGGAGTGGAATTGCTGAGTAACTCAGTAATAGTACCTATAGGCTTGTGTGAGGGGACAAGCTAGGACAAAATGAGCCTTCATGTAATATGCTGGGCATTTTTCTGGGGGCTGGAACATACCCATGAGTGACAGACCCCAGTCTGTCCCCGCGGACGAGATGGTCCTGAACAAGAACTCCACAGTTAGTAACCTGGTGGGGTAGGAGGGTTGTGATTGGGCTGTCTTGATTCCAAGGGGCCTGTGGAATATGAAGGGGAGACCATCTGGTTGGCAGTGGATTAGCAAATTAAAGCTCGAGGGAAACCTGGTTTCCATGGAGACTCCAGGAGAAGTGGTCTGGGCAATGCTCTCAGATGCTTTCTCTGAGGCCACTGAGAAGTGCGGCGGGCAGGACCGAGTTCTCACAGTGAATCAGTGTCAGCACATGTCACCTGCACTGGAAGCCCCGATGTGCCCAGTTGAGCATTTTCATAGCCTTCCTAGGGAAGTGCATGGGGCACACTGGCCCCATGGGCCGTGCACACACTAGTTTTGCCCTAACAGTGAGCTAAGTGTCTGCAGATTTACCCTCCCTTCTGGGAAGGCACTTGGTACGAGAGGAAGGTCACGGAGGGACCACCTCACAGGAATGCTTTCAGCATCCTCCTCTACACGCCTGTTCCTCTTACCGGAGCTGGTGTGTCTCCCCTGTAGCCAGGTTCATGTCCCGAATTCCAAGAGTGATCGCTGCCTGTGGAGTTCCCCAAGCCGGCCTGGCTCTCTTCCTCATAGAGATTGCAAGTCTCAGATCCTAGGAGGCCCATACTCTGTCCCAGCCTGCCAGGAAGTCTGTCCCTCTCTTTTCATCCTGCCCACTTATGTTATTTTACAGCACAATAGCATTTATGTCGTTCTTCTGCATCAAACTATTGCTTTGTGCCTGGTAGTCCCTCAAGAAGGCATATCTGCTCTTTATGAATATTCTATGTATGTTTATTGTTGATATGCATTTAGATGGCGCTTATTTTAGTTAATTAGCACAGTGGCCTGATGAAGAGGAGTTTCCAACATTTTATAGAGGAAGCAGCAGGTGTGTGGAGGTATAGATGACTTAGGTGTGGGGAGGTATACATGACTCAGGTGTCTGGAGATATACATGACTCGGGTATGGGAAAGTATACATGACTTAGGTTTTGGGAGGTATATCTGACACAGGTGTAGGGAGGTATACATGACTTCGGTTTTTGGAGGTATACCTGACTCAGGTGTGTGGAGGTCTACCTGACTCAGGTATGGAGAGGTATATGTGACTCAGATGTGGGGAGGTATACGTGACTCAGATGTAGGGAGTTACACGACACTTAGAAGTCCACACTCCTGAATGCCAGCTCTGGGAGTGAACCCAGCTTTGCTCTGTGCAGTGCTGGGTTGTGCTGGAGTGCCGCTTCTGTAAGGGCTGGCTGACGGAGGTGGAATGAAGAAAAGCTGTAGAGCTGAAACCGGTTTGGCTCAGTGGATAGAGCGTCAGCCTGTGGACTGAAAGGTCCCGGGTTCGATTCCGGTCAAGGCCATGTACTATGGTTGCGGGCACATCCCTAGTAGGGGGTGTGCAAGAGGCAGCTGATCGATGATTCTCTCTCATCGATGTTTCTAACTCTCTATCCCTCTCTCTTCCTCTCTGTAAAAAATCAATAAAATATATTAAAAAAAGAAAAGAAAAGCTGTAGAGACGTGAACAGTGAGGTACACTGATAGCCAGTGACGGGCCCAGGTGACCCCTTCTGGGGTGCCTGGATTTCTTTGGGAGAGAAACAAGCAGGAAACAGACCTCAGGGTGGTGTGGGCTCCACCAGCCGCGCTAAGGACACCAGAAATAAGGGCCAGTCCAGGTGTCACATGTGCTCCACTGAGGACACCCGGAAACACAGGTGTCCAACTCACAGGTGCGGTGGTTGGCTGGGATGGCGTGTCACCGGCCATTTCACCCTCCTGGTCTTTGTCGTCACCTGAAAGGCTGGGTTGGTGGCATGTCCTCTCTCCTTGCTGGCCCTGCCACCCTGGCCAGCAGGCACTGGTTTGGTCTCATGCCTGATTTGCTTTCCCAGGTGCTGTTGGAAACCGGCCACTGGTGAGGGTGGGTGAGGGGTGAGGGTGTGCTTTTGGGGCTCGGTGCTCCCTGCTGACCCACACCCTGCCGCTCCCCACAGGAGGAACCCTCTGCACTTCCACCTCATCGCCGACTCCATCGCCGAGCAGATCCTGGCCACGCTCTTCCAGACCTGGATGGTGCCCGCCGTGCGCGTGGACTTCTACAACGCAGACGAGCTCAAGGTACCGGAGTAGGGGGGTGCCTCCCGGTCTCCTCGACTGAGAGCTCTTCTTGTTTCTGGTTTAGGGGACCTCAGCCAGGCAGAAGTCTCAGCTCCCCACTGGCAATGCCCGGGGATCCCTGAGGGTGCTGCCACCCGAGTCTGCTTTTGTCTTCCAAAACCTTAAAGCAACCGCTTCCTTAGCTCACCGTGTCCGTGGGTCTGAGCAGTTCTGGCCCCTCAGGGGATGGGAGGCGGGAAGCTGGACTCTGCATCTGGACTTAGCACAAGGCTGCCTGGAGGCTGGGAGCTCAGAGGCAGGCTATGCTGCTCCCTCCCCCACGCCTCGTTATGGAGGCTGCAGGTGGTGGGCCTGGTACTTATCCGGAAGAGATCTAGATTATAATCCGTTCCCCAGTGAGGTAAATAAATGCTGAACTCTGCCTCCAATGGACCTGGGCTTGGATTCATGGATGTGGATCACAGGACCCAAAGTGGATAACCTGTACCTTTGCTGGGCATGTTTTCTCACCAGAAGAAAGGTGCTACCTTGCTCACCTCACGAGGGATTAAGAGGCTTAAAGGAGAGGATGCATGTGAATGTGTTTTAAAAGACTGCTGAGTAAAAATTAAGAACTAGAGACCCATTGCACGATATTCATGCAAGAATATGCCTTCCTTTTCCTGGCTTAGCTCCCGGCTGCCTGGAAGCCTGCAAGTCCTTGCTCCCGGCCGCAGCACAGCTCCTGTAGCTCCCTCTGCCTTCCCCTTACCCCTCCTAACAGGCATCCCAACCCTCCCTGCTGCTCCTGCTCTGTGCCTGCATATGCAAAGGAACTACCATATTTATTTGTGGGATCCCTTATCCAAATCCTGCATGGTTCAGGATGCCTCTTCAGGATTCTGTGTTCTGGAGAAGGCCGCACACAAATGAAAAGAGACTGGAAAAGAATTAATTTGGGAAAATAGGGAGCCAGGTGGGAGTCCACCTCTAAGGGGAGGACTACCCCTGCTCTGGCCTTTGGTATCCCTTTTTATTGAGGCTATGGGAAACACCCATATCCTTTTGGCAGGAAATTCCAATAATAGACAATCAGCAAGAATTTACATATGATTAACAGGTGGAGGTTGCCTTAACTACCAAAGTCTCAACTAAACAATGAGTGAATAGCTCCAACCATTCAGAGCTACCAAGGTTGGCCAGCCTTTCCGGATTCCCTTTTCACATTTAACCACTAGTGACAATGTTTGGTTTCTGGCATTTATTGGGTTAATTTGCATATTCACTCCTAATTGGCTGTGGGTATAGCGGAGGTATGGTCAATTTACATGCTTGTCTATTATTAGGTAAGATTATGTTGGGCTGTAGGGTTTTAGCCAGATGAGACCCATTTGATCCCCTCTCTCCCTCGCTTAAAATTCTGTTGTGCCACTGTGCTTTCGTCAACATCTGGTTAAGATGTCTCTGTATATCCTGGCTCTGGACGCTCTTGTCATTCTTGCAAATTCATGGTATTACTGGTTCTCTCCGCCTTCTCTGCTGTGTTTGAAGCTTTGCTTGTGCTATTCCTTCTGACTGACATGCCCTTCCACTCACCTTGTCATCACTCCTGCTCACCCTTCGGAACTCAGATGCATTGCCACCTCCTTTCCCAGTACCCCAGAGAAGAGGACACATTTTCTCCTCGCTTGTTCGTCCACTGCCAGTCTCGGACCTTCTTCATGGGGGCAGGGACAGGGCCCATCTGGTCCTTTTCTGTCATGTGCTGCATAGTTGGAACCCCGTCGTGTTTGTGGGTTTAACAAATTGCTGTTGTTAGAGGAACGTGTAACTTTGCAGAAATGCGTGATGCTCTGTCTCCAGTCACCTTGGGGAGGACTCCACACCTAGGCATGAGGCGGATTCCAGCAAATTGCTTGTTCCAAACCTCATAAAGCCATTATATTTTCATCTCCGAGCCTTAACACTCTAAATAGATCGCAAAAATGCCGGCCAGCGCTGCTGATTTCCCCGTATTTCAGGCCCTGAGGTTGCTGGAGACGCTCAGAAGTCAGTGTTTGGGGATTGTCGTGGTAATTTGTGTGCCATTCCAATCTATTCTGAGCTAAAATTGATTAACACTCTCAAAAAGGGAAAAACAGAATTTAGCAAATTGCTGCGCTAATTAAGGTAAAAGCAAGCCACTCTGTCTCCCCGGGTGTGTGGGCCAGCACCGTGGGGAAAAGCAGGGGAGAAGCAAGCGGCATCTGGCGCAGAAGGCTGCGTCCGCCTCTTCCTCCTGCGTTCTCCTGTCTCCGTGTCCCTTGCAAGCCTTTGCCCTCTGCTATTTAAACAAATGTCTATTTTTATTGATTTCAGAGAGGAAGGGGGAGGAAGAGAGGAATAGAAACATCAATGATGAGAGAGAATCATGGATCATCTGCCTCCCACATACCCTCACACCCTGGGGATGGTGCCAGCCACCCAGGCACATGCCCTGACTGGGAATCAAACCATGACCTCCTGGTTCATAGGTCGACGCCCAACCACTGAGCCATGCTGGCTGTGCCTGTACCCTATGCTTTTTAAGAAAAGACAAATAGCAGAAAACAAAAAGCCCGCGTTCACCTCCTGGCCTGCCTCGGAATCACTCTGATCCGGGTTCTGAGCCCGGCTCCATAAGCTGCTGGATGAGTAGGACAGCGCCGGCTGCCAAGGGATTAAATAAGATGGTTCATGTGAAGGCCCGGCAGCGCCCGGAGTACAGCAGGTCCTTAAAGATGCCCCGCTCCCTGCAGCCGAGGCAACATGGGGTTAAAAGGCAGCCTGTGGTGGAGTCTGGGGAGAGTAGGGAGGCTGAGGAGTAAGGCAGCCTGTGGTGGAGTCTGGGGAGAGTCGGGAGGCTGAGGAGTAAGGTACCGAGAACTGTAATCCACTGGAACTTCCAGGAGCTCTTAAAGGAAGGAGAGTGGGAAGGAGGAGATGGGTCTTCCCACTCTCTCCTGCCCTCTTGAGGGCAGGTAGATCTGCTGTTCATTATTTTACTTGCCGTTAGCCATGTGAATTGAGGGCTCTAGGCCTTAAAAAAAAGAGAATTGGAAAATACACACCTGGTGAATTCTAAAGGATATCGTCTGCAGGGCCCTGTCCTCCGGCCCGATTCTGCTCTTGGCTGGGCCAGGCAGGAGCCCCAACACCGGCATTTGATTTTCCTACCAATTACATACCCGTCTCCCACATTCCTTTATTCCCCAACATTGGAATCTGGTAAGAGTCCGTTGAGGACTACCCATTCTTCTCAACCTGAGCCTCTCCTGGCCCTTAGCACGACCATCTCTCTACTTAGTTGTTCATCCAGAGCCCAGCAATTTGTCGTTGGTGGGACCCTTTCCCTCACTCCGTGTCCAACCATGCCATGTTCTGGCTTGCCACCCTCTCCCCTGCCAGCACCCTCGTCTCTGCGTTCTCCAGCAGCAGTATGAGTCAGCCACCCCAGAAGCCAGCCCCAGCATCGCCACCCCCTTTCCTCCCTGTGAAACCTTGCGGGGTCTTTAGCTGAGTCGAATTTTTCTGCACAGCCTGGCTCCTGCCTTCTTCAGCTTCACCTCATGCCACCCTTGGTTTCTCTCTCGGTCTTCAGATTTGCTCTGCCACCTCCCTCCACCAGGGGGCCCGGGTACAGGTTACTCTGTCCCTTCACCCCTGTTCCCTAGCTAGCCTTCTCTCCCCCAATGCTAAAGGTCAATCCCACATTCGTTTGCATCAGCAGCATGGACAGGCACACATAGTCTCCTTGCACTTCACAGATGTTATGCCTTTTACAAATCAAATGCAAGGCCCTCCCTCAGCAATAAGATTGCAGCTGGCTTTCCTTCACCGCTCGCTGAATTGTGCTGGTCTGGAAGGTGACCCAGCTCTCTCCTAGGCCTGCCTGCCCTCGGGGAGCCCCTCCTTGCCTCTGTCATCACACAGGGGTTCTTTTGTCATATGTTGTCATAGGATCACCAGCATTTCTCAATAAACTCATGGCGCAGTGTAATCCTTCTCGCCTGTGTGTGATGAGCAAGTAAATGTCTCTCTCTACTCAGGACAGAAAGTGCCAACAGGACCAGCGGTGTCCCGTTCGCCCTTCATCGCCCTCATATCCTTGTGCCTGGAGAGGATGGTTGCTAAATGGCCCGGCTGTGGTGACTCAGTGGTTAAGTGTAGACCTATGAACCAGGAGGTCATGGTTCGTTTTCCCGCAAGGGCACATGTCCAGGTTGCAAACTCAATTCCCAGGAGGGGGACATGCAGGCGGCAGCCAATCAGTGATTCTCTTTCATCATTGATGTTTCTCTCTCCCTCTCCCTTCCTCTCTGAACTCAATTTTATATATATATATATATATATATATATTTATAAAGTTTGCTAGTCCTAGCTGGTTTGGCTCAGTGGATAGAGCATTGGCCTGTGGACTGAAGGGTTCCGTGTTCAATTCCCAGCCAGGGCACATGTCCAGGTTGCAGAATCAATTCCCAGAAGGGGGGTGTGCAGGAGGCAGCCGATCAATGATTCTCTCTCATCAATGATGTTTTTTTTTTCTCTCCCTCTCTCTTCCTTTCTGAACTCAATAAAAAATAATATGTGAGTGTGTGTGTGTGTGTGTGTATGTGTGTATTTTAAAAGTTTGCTAGTCTTAGTGGTTTGGCTCAGTGGATAGAGCATTGCCCTGTGGACTAAAGGGTCCCAGGGTCGTTTCTTGGTCAGGGCACATGTCCAGGTTGCAGACTCGATCCCCAGTGTGAGGCATGCAGGAAGCAGCCACTCAATGATTCTCTCTCATTGTTGATGTTTCTCTCTCTCCCTCTACCTTCCTCTCTGAAATCAATACAAATATATGTTTTAGAAAAAGTTTGCTAAAGGAATGGTACACAATAACGCAGGGCTGGGTCCCTGAGGGTATTCGAGTCATTAGGAAGGGGGTTCTCCTTCACTGCCAGGGCTCACCACATCCTGAGGCCACTGGGCAGGGACCGTGCAGAGGTGCAAATAAGGCAGCT